AAAGGGAGGAAGAGAGCTAGGGAGGAAGGGGGGGGGAAGATCTGGGGTAGTTATGTAAAATAAGAAAAAAAATAATAAAACAGTTATCTCTTTCATTGCTCTTCCACTGCATCCCTCCTACCCTCAGCCATGCCATTCCCTCATGGTCTCATCCTCCACTCGCTTCCCATCCCCTCTACCACACCCAGTTTACCTAGTAGATCTCATCTAATTTCCCTTCCTTTTCCAGGGCAATCCATATGTTCCTGCTTAGGGTCGTCCTTGTTATCTAACTTCTCTGGAGCTATGGGCTGCAATTTGTTTATCCTTTGCTTTACATCTAATATCCACTTATAAGTGAATACATACCATGTTTGCCTTTCTGAGTCTGGGTTACCTAACTCAGCATGGCTTTTTCTAGTTCCATTTATTTACCTGCAAATTTCATGAGGTCGTCATTTTTTACATCTGGTGGCATTTCTTAACTTTTCATCTTAATGGGACTTAACTCATTCTATAAATCTTAGAATATGGTTAAAAGTGATACAAATTGGAAAAGAAAAAAAAAATTCACTTGTTTTTCAAGGCATTCAAATTTGGCTGAAATTTCTTGATCACAACCAAAATCTCTTCCAGAGTTGAGGAAGGTTTATAAAAATATATGCACATGCAATATATGTGTATGTGTGTGTATAACATACTAATAAAATTAAGAAAACTTTTAATTATTAATACATTTATTTGTTTTAGGACTGCTCTCTTTGCTTTGTTTTGCTTTTGCATTTTTAGTCAAACCGAGCCCAAAGTTTACATAAATTAACAACTGTCTTATTCCACAAACAAATTTTGTGTATTTTCATATTTATATTGTTAGTTATACTTAAACTTTCTGTGATTGATTTTAAGTGTTTGATGTGTCAGTGAATTAATTTTGTGTAATATGAAAAGCTAGGCATATCTATGTGTCTCCCTTTGCATTTCCTTAGACTTTTATTACTTCAATTTCCTTATATCAAAGAAGGAAGCAGTATTGGTTTTGGGTCCTTGTTTTTTGTTTGTTTATTTGTTCGTTGTTGTTGTTGTTTTTCCTTTCACACTTTCTTTGGAAGAATTTCCTTTTGTCATAAGCTTCCCTCTCTTACTTGGTTATCTTTCTGTTTGTGTTTTGTTTCCTCCAGCCATTCTGTTTTCTACAGCTTGTGAGATCTTTGGGGCCACAGCAGTGATTCAACAGTGACTCTCAAAAGAAACCTCAACCTTGAAAGGATCTTCTGGCATCTCTCTACTTACAGGCTAATAAACACAAGCCACAACTTGATGTCAGAGTCATAAAATGAAATCTAATAAAATGAGTTACTAAGTTGCCCATTGTTATAAAAATACCCTGATAGCTTCTTAATATGTTTCCAAGTATCCAATTACTTGAATATAAATAGTAACTGATTGATATGCTTCCAGTCAGGCATGTATAATGATGTTTATTATTATGGCTACACTCCGAAGACTCATAGTGGAAAAAATTACACCCACAATGTTCCTTAGATGTCAGCAGGACAATGGGAGTTACCATGTTCTCCTCAGTGCACATTCCTAAAATTAAAGACTAAAATAAGGAAGTCCATGAAGTCTGGGAGTTACTCAACAGCTGTGTCACCAGTATAATACTTGCCACACAGGAGAACCACCTCAATTATTGATTAAATATAATATTTTGATGAGTACATACTTCAAGCGCAACATACATTTTCAAAAGTTTTCAAATGATCCATATTTCTTCTGTGTGCCTAATCATGTGTCTCAGTCAAATTTCTGACTAAAGAGAAATGTAAACATATGACTGCATAGCTGAGAAGTGTCCCCAAAAGCTAAAAAAGTGCCAAGTTACACAAGTATATATTTGTTCAAAGCAAAGAAGAAGCAAGACTCAAGTTCTGCATTTTTTCTTTCAGTCTATGAACTCGATTTCCTTGTTGTATTATTTGTGCAATAGTATTGTATTATATGTGCACTATTATGACTTTTATGTCAACATCAACGCACCTAGAAATAACTACTAAAATGTCAAAAACTCAACTTTGACTATTCTGTTAGTAAAAAAGTAGTGTAGTATGTACCAATGCATTAGTATACCTTAATTTCCATTTTCCTACTTGCAAGTCATTCTGAATGGAAACTGAATAACAACTTATTGAAACATATGAGCAGACCACTGTGTAAGCAGGAGCCTAAACAGCAAGTGCAGCTCCTCCTAAAATAGATGATGATGGGGTTCAGGAAAGTTCACAACACTGAAAATTCATAGCTACAAATGCCCTAACAATGGCTCTTCTAGGCAGCTGTAGTTGTTTTTACTAGTGAGGAAACAGATATTACACATCACCTCTCCCCAACTACTTCCAGAGTTTAACATCCAGGTAATATAGAAGGATGAATGTAATGAAACTTTTCAAGGCAGTGTCTTGTTTGCCATTTGAAAGGATGGACCACACAGAACTGCCTCACTGACTTGAAATGGAACCTCTGTTGATACTGTCAACTGCTGATAACACTAATCCCTGAGAATTTCTCTTTTCTCTGAAGCCTTTTACAAATTTCTCCATCTGCATACCTGTAGGCTCTCAGAACCTACCTGATAGACAGTTTGCAAACTAAAAGTTAATTGCAACTTGTAAAGTACATAGAACTTCTTCATCATTTGACATCACAATTATTTTCAATTTCTTATTCTGAAAACCATTATCTGGGTACAAATTTTTCACATCTGTCAGTAAACTCCAACTTACAAAAGAAACCATCAGAAAGTATTTCCTGCCTCTCATTCTCACAGTATATACTTCAGTTATTACTATTTTCCATATCCCTCAAGAGAGTGGTTGAGAACAATCTAAGCTAACTTAAGACACTATCAATGCTTTCTAGAAATCTAAAAATTTTGGTTCTCAGACACAAAATTTCTGGGTTACAAGGATAATTCTTTCCCAACATATGAGTATATTTAGCTAGATCATTCCGTTAAATCCACTGAAGAAAGGGTATTTTGAAAAAAAAAATGTACTGGAGACAGACACAAACCTACAGATACTGAATTCTTCTCATAAATAGTTGTAATCAACTATTGTGGGAACAGCTTCTTTGGGCTGGTATCTCAGGTGCCAAGAATGGACTGGGAGCCAGCACTGACACTCTTGGGTGGAGGCTAGAGAGCTGACAGTAGCATCCCATACTTCCATGGCAGAAGAATAAGGTGGCTATTTACCTTCATCATATGAGTGTTCCCCAAATAAATATTTGATATTCTTGTATGCAGATGTTCGTGAACTCCTTTACTGTGCCTATATTCAACAATTTGCCAACTCAAATATTTCCCAAGATCATCTGCTGTAGGGAAGTTTACAGGGAGCTTGGAAAAGAGAAGCCAACCTGCTCTCAAGTATCTTTTTAGATTATCTGCAGAAGGATGTGTTAAACAGTAACATAGAGAGAAAGGAAGGGCACTGAAAACATGTGTTACAGAGTAACACACCAGTCAGTAAGGAGACTGAAAACCTGTTAAAGACAGACACACTAGAAAGGAGGGAGACTGAAAATATGGACTAAAGGCTAACACACCAGACAGGAAAGTCGCTGAAAATATATTTCAGTGATGAAGGAAACAATCATTCTCCAATATAGTACCATGGTGCATAGAGTCTGGTACCCACACCAGGGCTCTAAGCATCTCACTTTTTTCCAGGCCTGTCCTAAAACAAGTCCAAGAATGCTTTCAAATGGGAAACCTAGGAATAGCCAAACAAGACGAATGCTCAAATACACTGAGGGAACTTTAAAATGTTAAAATCTGAGGGATAGAGGCAGTGAAATGAAAAAGAGGTGGGGGACAATGCTTAGAGAGTTAACATCTTTTCTTCCAAAACCCAGGTGAGGCTTAAAGATGGGTAGAAATTTGACATTTAATCTCTTTTGAATTCTGTTACTAAGTGGACTTTTTCAAACCCAAGAAAAAGATAAAACCAGGGTTTGGTATTTGAAAAAAAAAAAAAAAAGTAGCTGAAATGTCTGAGGAAGAAGAATGCAACCAGGAGGTGTATGATGTATAGTGAGAACCGTTGATGCATTGATGCAGACATCCCAAGATCAGCCAAGATGAGCACACTTGCCAAAGTACACGAAGGCATCTATTCCTTCAATAAGCATATGGGAGGGTTCTAATATGAGGAACTCAGGAAGCACTGGAGAATCTAAGGATGGGAATGAAATATGATGTACAAAAAGTACCAAGAGACTTCAAAACAAAACAAACAAACAAAGAAACAAAAAACCACACCAGTTTTACCCAGAAAAGAAAATTGAGCCAATAAACGCATAACAAATAAGACATCAAGAAGGCTTGAGTGTGTGTGTGTGTGTGTGTGTGTGTGTGTGTGTGTGTGTGTGTGTGATAGGACTACAGGTTTGCTCATAGAAACACAACTCAGGAAAGTATCTGACAGTGTCCCTAAATGGAGAAAGGCACTCGGCAGAGACTTAGAAGAGCCTATGGAATTCAGAGATGCCCCAGAGGTCACTACTAGGGTCAAGAGAGTGTGGGAAATAGAGAGAGTAAGGGCTTCCAGGGGCGGGGCAGGGGCTCCTTTGGGATGCTGGAAAAAGGAAATGGAGCTGCCAGAACACAGCCTGGGAAAGTTTGGAAGAAAAAAAAAAAAAGCGCAAAAGCAAAACAGGTGGCCTGAAGGAGCCCTGCGGCCATCAGAGATGGCAGCGGTGTAGTTGGATGTAAGACTCGACCTTCGCAGCCAGACCTGGGGAATAATGGGGTCGCATTTCCTTCCATTTTGCCCCTTCTGCCTAAGCCCAGATGGTTGTGTCTTCCTGGGGGGCCACTAGGAACCCTAGGCCGACCAGGATGAGGCCTGGTCGCCCCCCAGCGGCTGGGAGCTCCCAGAGCTCCTCTGCTAGCCCTGTTCCAACTTTGCCCACCCTTGTCCTCTGCTGAAGCTCAGACCCCTCTCTCCCCAGCTCACCGAGGGCGCTGTCAGGAGGCTGATGCTCTCGCCTAGGGAGTCCAAGTTGACCCTCCGGCGGCGCTGCGCCTTCTTGGAACCGGCGGCGGCATCAGCTGTGGCCGCGGAGGCGGCAGAGGCAGCGGGGACCTGGGTGGCAGCTGTGGCAGCCGCTCTGGAGCCGGGTGGCCCTGGTGGGCTCCGGCTGCCATTCCAGCAGAGCTTGGACAGGGGGCACTCCCCTTCCTCCTCTGGGCTGGTTTCCAGGTAGTCAGAACCCAGAGAGCTGAAGGACTCTGATGAGATCTTCCTACGAGACATGCTACTGGAGTCGCTGCTGCAGCCGAGGCCGAGGTGGCGGCGGTGGCGGTGGAGACGAAGCTGTGGCTGTGGAGGTTGGAGCACTGGCGATGGCAGCGTCAGGCGCGTCGGGGACGCTGGGCGCTGCGCTCGAGCTCTCCCAGACCAGAGTTCTCGGGGCTGCTGAGCCCTGCCAGCCAGCTGCTCATGGCGGGAACTTGGGTCGCCGCAGCTCCTCTGGGGCGCAGTCTCGGCGGTGGCTCCGGGGATGCGCTGGGGACCCTAGGATAGCCGCCACTGCCTCTTCAGCTGCTGCTTTCGCGGCGCAGTCTCAGCGCCCACCCGTGCGCATCTCTCCCGCTCCGGGGCTGCGGGGATCGTTGTGCAGCTGCTCCTCTGCCTTGCGTCTCGACCGCGGAGGCCCGCGTCCTCCGCCCCCTCAACTAGCAGTGCGCCTCCCTTCTGCTCCCTTTGTCCCTCCGCCCCCCAGCGCTGCCTCCACAGCGTCACGTGTCGGCAGCATACTCATTGGAAGTCTCTGCCTCTCTGGTCGCCACGTTTCAGAAGCAACTAGGACACTTGGCTGCTATTCTCTCTGCGCCTCCCCGCCCCCCCCCCCGTTTCCCCGCTACCATATCCTCCTATTAGGGATTTCCTGCAGTGGTTCCATAGGACCAAAGGTCCCCAAGCCCAAATGTCTCGGCCCTTGGACCCTGGAAAAGCAGATGGGCAGTGAACACACCCAAGGGCTGACACTAGGGCTAGGGCTGGAGGGGGTGTGGAGGGCAGGTGGGCAGGGGAGATTCCCCTCCTGGAGAAAACTGAAAACCTGACATGCAGCACTGGGGTCCCTACACACACACACACACACACACACACACACACACACACACACACACGTCCAATTGTAGTTTATTTTGGAAGTTCAAATCAGTCACCCTAACTGTTCCAATGGAGACACCTTCAAGTGAAAGGAGGGATGGGCAGCTTGTGGAGATGGGGTTTTCTGTCTCGAGTGAGGCCATGTGGCCAGTGAAGATCCGTTCAGGCTACACCCTGTTGCTTTATGTGCCTGGAGCCCTGTGGTACTAGATGCTGCCACCTAGAAATGTCTCTGTTTCTGTGCTGGACAGCTCTGCTTGCCACCTGCACAGAGAATGTCAGGTGGTGACAAAATCTGATCTAGTCCTGTGCAGCCTCTCTTCCTGACCACAAATGACTGGGCTCCTTGAGTCATATATGCATTCAGTTGATAAAAACAACAGTAGTGGGAAGAAAGGCGATATGCACCAGACTCTGACTGTGGGTTTCAGCACAACAGCTTCATTTCAAAGCTTGTCTTATTGCAACCAGCCACAGTGGTGGTCCCATGGCCCTGGTGTAGCTCCAGAAAAGGTTTGGGCTTGTTCTTAAATTAGAGTAGGCAATGGTAAGGAGACCGCAATTGCAGTGTCACAGGAGAGGTGTTCCATGCTGTTTCTCAGTACAGGGAAGCAACTGAGCACTTTCCTTTTCTTCCCCTGGCCAGAGAATATAAAGCTCAAGGGCTTTGGCTTTAACTTGGAGGCCACAGAAGACAAATCGTTTTTACTCTTGTTTCCAAAGGACTGGTTCAGGTAAGGCAGATAGGTATAAGTAAACAGAGCCGTTTAAAACAAAGAAAACCTCAAAATTGTTATCATGTCTCCCCCACTTGCTTTTAACTCTAAATTTTCCTATTTGTTCACAAGGACCCCCATGAATGTGTTGCTTTTATAGTGTTCCTTTTATACTTCGGAAAAATGAGCTCTTAAATGATGATTAGAGATATGAAATGACTGTATGCACTATAACTACCTTATTTAAGTACCTATTTATAATATATCTGTTATATTCATACTATGTTATTGATATTATCATCATTAATATGATTTGGATTGTGTTGACATATTTATTGTTAATTTAATCAATATTCAATCAATGCATCAATTCATCCTCCATGTCTTTATCTTAAAAATTATACATTGACTCATGGTCTGGGTTACCTGAAAGCATCCAAAGGCCTACCCATTGCCTTGAATTCCCCGGTGGGTGGGTTCCACTATGATAAGCAAGAATATGGTAGAGAAATGGAAGAAAAAATAAATAAGCAATATGGTTCATGTGCTGTTATAAAAGACAAATCTGAAGAAGCGAGGGTGGTGAGGAATGAGCTGATGTTGGTGGCCTGTTTGCCACCTGGAACCAGGGTGTTGTCTATGCCTGGGATGCCATGTCTGGGTCCCTGGTGCTATTAACTGTATTGACATCTAGAACTCATGTTGCCACCAGGGCCACAGGAATGCTAAGGCCTGGTCAGACACCTGAGTCCATACTGGTACACTATGGCCATGCTGCCACCAGGGCCATGCTAATCTAAATACCCACTAGTGCCACCTAGGCCCTACTAAAGCCAGGGACTGGACTGTGGCTCCTGTTACCACTGAAGGCTATGCAAACCCAGGGTCTGGGCCATTACCTGAGCCATGTGGTGTAATGAGATATTCACCTTGTCCAGCCAAGTCTCCACCCCCCCATGGGCGTGATCTATTCCACAGGTGCGAACAAGGTGAATATCTCACTACAATGCATCTGGACTACAAACATCACCCTAAAACTGGTTTGAAACTGTTTTGCTCGAGACAACTCATGACTAGCTAGCTGCAATGGTGCACCTTATTACACCCTGGCCAGACTTTCAAATAGAACTATAGTCAAGCATTTTCTGCCACAAGAGTGACTAGCTACATATGTCATAGCCAGTTCTGTTGAGAAATTTGGTTACTAAAAATTATATTCCTACAGGATCCCATGGAGCAATTATCGTCCCATTTCTGCAGGAAGTAATCTTAAGATAATGACGCCCCATTTTCCTACACTTGAAATTTGAGGATAATATTCACCTTCTTTGGGTTGGTTTTAGTTACATAGGGTTGGGTATGGAAGGTGATACTTAGACTCGGGTTTATCTTTTAGACAGGAATAGGGTATGGTTGGGAAAGGTATGGTTCAAATGGGATATGGTAGATTAGCCTATCTTCTCACGAATTATTTAGTAAGAGTGAGATAATACTATTATACAGCTTACATTGTTATATACTATTATTTGTGGTAAGCTATGTAAAATTAAGTTTATATTCCCTTCCCAGAAGAATTTTATATTATATTTTGTCATATTGTGTGAAATATTTCCACTTATGTTTTATGCACATTATTCTTACCACATTCTATGTATGTATACTTTTTCTTGTATTCAAGACATTTTGTAAATTGATACAATTGAGGATATTTATCTTGCTGTCCTTTATAGTTCTACCTCTTGTCTAGACATTTCTACTCTACCTTTATTTTAGGGATTTACATGTATATATATGTACATAGTTACATTGCTTAGGTATTAATCCCTGCTTTACTCAAGGAAGTTTTAATCAGTTTTTTTAGCTAAGTTCCTGAGTATTACAGATTATCTTCACCCATGTTTCCTTTATCTATGAGATTAGACAGACATAGATGCTTAATCTTCAATCACTTCATAGAAATGCAGAACATGGCATTTAAATGTTTTAATATTAGTACTCCATTGACATGAGACACTATTGCTCCTGACAACACCGTGCACGTTCCCAAAAATATGTAGGACACTGTTGTTGCTCCTTCTGGAGTTCATCCTTGCTTCAGCTAATGGTCTCTTGGGCAAAGAACTGCCCCCACCTTGATCACTGATTAGGACATGCAGTCCTATGTGCTTGCAGGAGACAAATATAAAAGACTGCCGAACCTTGTCAAGTCAGGGTAAGACAGCCTTTCTACCTCTCTGCTGTTGTGGTCTGTCAAGTACTCTTGGCGTTAGCCACAACTGAGTGTACAAACAATGTTGTGAGACCTTGGGTGACTGTCAAGGTAACCTGTGGTTTCTGTCCTCACTGCACCTTTTGGAAGTTGCCCATCTGCACATCCTGTCTACCCAGTATTGTTATTTTCCTTCTCAAGTCTTGATGAGGTTGAAGATTAAATTCACAACTATTATTCTCTCTTCCTAGTTAGATATATTAGGTACTAGACTTAAGCTTTCCAGCTTAGGACAACTCTATTGTAAACCCCCGTTTTGACTTCACCTTAGGACTAGATAGTTAGGTCTTAAGTTTGTAGGTTCTTTATTTTCCTTTTCTAAGAGTATACTTGTTATTCACTATTTTGTATTTAGTTTGTGTATCTAGCCCAAATCTTTTCCTTAAACTAAAAGGGGAATTGTAGTGAGATATTCACCTTGTCTGCACCTATGGCAAAGACCACGCCCATTAGGGGTGTTCACCAGTCTATGTTGTGAGTTATTTCTCCCTGAATAAACATCTGTTCTGCCTAATTGTTTATCCAGATCCTTATTAAACATCAATATCTGGTGTCAGAAGTCGGTAAAGCATGAGACTCTAAATCTCAGGATCATTGGTTCGAGCCCCACATTGGGTTCCATATGTTACAAGTAAGGTTTTCCTGACAGTCTGGCCCTGCCAGTCCCACCATCATGCCAGCCCCAATTAACACACCAAGACTCTGTATTTGATATAATACTGTTGGCCAGTTACTTGTTTCTTATCGGCTAGCTCTGTCTTAATTATTAACCCATTTCTATTCATCTAAGTATTTCCATGTGGTCTCATTTTAATGGAGAGTGGGCCCGGACCTCTGTTCTCCCCAGTCTCTCCAAGCTGAATCCTCCCTACTACTTCCTCTTTCCTCCTTGTCTCCTAGTCCCTCCTCTCTTGCTTTCCTATTGGCCAACAGTGCTTTATTCATTAACCAATATGAGAAACACATTTACAGAATGACATCTCCCATCAATGTGGGTATCTGAGGATCATGCTGCAGTTGGGGATATACAGATCTGAGTGGACCGTACTGCCACAAATTGCCCTAGTGACCTGGCCTTGGATGTAGCTGAATGCCCAGGCTGCTCTTGAGAGCCATGTCATGGTCCATGACCCAGCAGCAGTCGAGGTCTGAGTTGAGTCCATTGACCCTGTCACCACCAAGGGCTGTTGTATTCC